AATATTCAGGAAATTAATTGTTAAATTGCTGTCTACTACTGGTTTCAGTATTTTTAGACTAACAAGTAATTACCAAATTATGAAACCATTCACACACACATTTGTCTTGATAAACTAGGAAGATTTGCAGCACAAAAACAGAAGTCACCCATCTGAAACAGTGTAATACACAGGCAATTTAATCTAAACTGGAACATAAAAGTAGCAAGAGATCAAAACTACTTGGAAATCACTATTTTTATGGTCAGCATGCAGCAGAACGACCATCTATTACTCTGAAGAGAAAAAAACCTGAAACCAGCTATTAACAGCCCTGTAATGCTCATATACATCACTAATTATGCACAGGTTGTCACTTAGATTTACAAGTACCAATGGACAAAAAAGGGGAGAGAGGTTGCTGCAATAAGTCCTCCAGCTCTCCTCAGGGTTTTCATTTGTATAAGGAGGATAAAAGAAGCTTGTATCTTTCTCTCTCTCCAGCATGATAAGAGTAACTTTTTTCATACTTCAAAAATTACTAAAATAACAAATTATAAAGTTCAGCACCTTTTTTACTCCTTTTTGAATAAAATTCTAAAGATCTTATAAGCTGAACAAAAGAAAGCAGTTTTCAACCACCAATAAAAAGAAACCGCATGCACAAAATGGTTTCAGAGTACAGCCCACATTCTGTCTCTTTGAAGTAAAAAACCTTCCAGTTCCTGAAGAGGTTGCTTGGACCACAGGACAAGGTTCTTCAATGATGAATGTGGCAAGAGACAGTAGTAATAAACTGAAAAGAGCAGCTGCTGACCATATGCATACAAAGGGAAAAAACAAACTGCAAGAAAAATAAAATATTGGAACAGGAATTGGCATGAGGCTGTTGAATCTCAAGACCCAAGTGGACAAAACACTAAGTGACCTGATCTGAACTCAACGTTGAAACTGTGCTCACCACAAAGTTGGGCAAAATGATCTATAGAGATCAAGTAGAATTACTTTGATTTACCAGGCTACCTAAATGTACATATTTATTTTCTTTTACCATCTGAATGAGTTTAAGATAAGGATAAAGTACCGCAGCAAAATCCTCTCATGAATGTGGCTGGATCTGGTTTTAAGCACAAGATTAAGATGCATAGCAAATTTGTTTCTATCTGTCTGAGGTGACTGAAACAGAATTTATAAAAAAGTTATTGCAAAGACAACTATTTTCCTCAGCAAACAATTAAAAAAAGAATTTTGTCATAAACCAACAGATCTTCCAGACAGTGCCTTGCTAGAAAAAAAATATGGTTTAACAGAAATGAAAGTTTGCTGTATGAGTAGGAGATTTTGCTACCAACCCTGCTAAACACCACAAGTGCCAACAAGTTTCTCAGATGTACAAAATGGACTTCTGACAATTTTGGATATTTTATCGATCCTTATGCAAGCAATTATTAATCAAGGGAAACCAGTTAACTCTCTCAGAAGAACAAAACATTTTAAATGGTGACTTTGTTATAATAAAGATCCAAAGTTTTAAACAGGTCAAAAAAGAAAACACCACCCTTTTATTTTTTAATATTAATTTAACAATACAGTGAGTGCAATGCAGTAAGTTAATGCTTTTGGAGTTAAAGCTACTATGTTACAGTGGGTTTAGTATAGTTATATTTTCCTTAAGAGGTGATGAACAGCTGCTAAGTTGAGGTCCAAAAAACCACATTTATTTTTAACATTTGGCAAAGGTTTATGGTTCTCTGTACAGACATTTCAAAGTGTATGTTGGAAATAAATATGAAATGTCAATATTTAGCTTTATTCCAGATCTTTAATGAAATTACTGCTTCTGTGAAATATGTATTACTTCTAAATATGTATTACAGCTTCCATTGCACAGACTGGAAAACTGTAGGGGATAAAAGAAAAGTTTATTAATAAGTATAAAATGAAACAACAGCTAGCCAGCTTGCCCCAATGGCCATATTTCAGCATGCTTACTTTGACTTCATTCAAAGAAAGCAAGCTAAAAAAAAAAAGTCAGAACAATGCTTTCCCTTTCTGGGTTCTGAGAACACTGACCTTCAGTTAAAATTCACTGCACTGTTGCAAGTTTATTTTACAGACAACTAGAGCACTATTAGCCTAAATATTGAAAAATATGGTACACAGACATGAAAAAAACCTAATTTGTATGCTAGAATATGTATGTAAAGTAATTTGGAATTACTTGTCCTTCATGTGTCCTACTATATTTATGCAAAAATAACCCAGACCTAAAATGGTCATTAAAGCAGTTGGCATTTAATCCACAGATCTATATGAGGGGGTTTATTTTTATATAAGGATTTTATATGACTTTTTATTTTTGCTCATTGGCTTTAAGACATAAAATGACTGGTTTGTTTTTTTTAACTGATGAGAATTACAGGTATATTTATTTTTAAACTGCAATCATACATCCCTGCGCTATGTAGAAAATGCGTATGGAGACAAGGTAGTTAACAAAGAAGTTAACAAGTTTTCCTTTTCTATAGTAACAGGGCAAACTGCTTTTTAATGTTTTAGCTAGTCAGGGTGAACCTGAGATTCCTCATCAGAATTCACTGCAACTGCCTGACACATGAAAATAACCTCTGCCCCAGTTATTCTTCACTAGCACAAGCCATGACTGCTTCACTGACCATAAACTATGGCAATTTATATGGGCATGGACCTGCCCTGAGGCAGCTTTAAAATTAGCTAATGTGCTATTTTGGGCTTTGCTTTTAAATACATCTAATCTCAGACAAAACATGCCATATTAAAATCTTCTATGCCACATGTTCACTGTATTTTTTTGCCAGACAGTCCTGCTAGTATAAGGTATAATGAGTAATGATCTCGGACTCATGTAGCTAAAGCTCACCAGCATAATGGTTACTACACCAGCAAAATTACCTCTGCAAGTGGCTCTTCATGCTGGCAAATGCAGATACTTTCCTGAAATAGGCTGAGCTCGGGCTCTGTAACACACAAAGCGGCTCTGGGTGCCATGATAAGTTACCCAGGCACAAGAAGCACTGGAACCTCACCTGAGAAACCCCCCTTGAACAATAACATATCTGCTCTTCTCTCAGTTCATTGACAATCCAAACACTTTTTAGTGTAAGTGATCTTGCCAACCAGGATCACAAAACTCGAACACATTCCACATCTTCCAAACCAAGAAGTTAATTACAAGTGGTATTCATAATTTAGGAGATTCTTTTTATTTCTAAGCTTTAAAGGATGCACTTGCCAGAAACATGACAGATGTAAATTTTTTTTAACATGAAACCTGAGAACGTAATTTAATCTGACTGTAGCAGCTAAAAATGTGTATGAAAAACAAACATTACAAGACTTCCAGTAATCTCAAGTACTGGCAGCAATGCCATAAGAGCAGCTGTAACTGAGAAATGCTTAGATGGACAAAAATTTATTCACATTCAAAATAAATATGCCAAAGATTACTTTATTGAAGATCTCAAAGATCTCAAATCTAGACATCTATGTCAAACAACAGTGGCAATAAAATTATTATAAAAAGAAGCACTTAGTGAGCAAGTGTGCAGTGTGACTTATTAGAAGGCTTTTCCTCCTAATGGATTTAATAGCTAGTGAGGTCTAAATTAATTACTAGTAATAGGCTTGACATTATTTTTCGTCAAAACAAAAAGAATCCTATTTCAACATTTCTATTGGAGTGGGAAAATAAAAGTTCTAGGAAAAATAAGTTAGGAATAATTAAGTGTTCTACTGCATCTTACCCCCCCTGCCCCCCAGACTACCTGTATTTTCTTCTACTCTTTAAGCAATTTAAAAAGGAACAAAATTTCTACAGATGTCTAATATCTTCCAAACAACCAGAAGCTAACAATTTTTCAATTGCCCGTTACATAAAGGTATTTGCTATAAAATTCAGAATTAAAAAAAATAAAACAACCGAAACAGCAACCATAGCTTCAGAACATTCTGCTATGAAATTAAGTGAACTCATAGTGTTTGGTATCTTAAATAAGATGTGCCTCACAGGAAATATGATAGTACAGTTTTATAGAAGATGAACACTTTTGAAATATTTATAAATTTACATGAATATCATCCATATATACCATGACGCATTTCAATAATTATTCTACAGTACAATGGGAGTGCATGCTCAAACAAAACACCTCAGCAGTATTTTAAAGCAGTAAACCACCTAGCCAATTTCTGTACGTTCTGTAGTTTTTCTAATCCACTCTCCCTGTGGTTGAGCAAAATCGAATTGCCTCTCACATTTGCAGACAGCTCTGTGAAGGTGATAATAGAGCTGCTCCCTGCTGTCATGAGGCAGGAAATAGGAAAATGGCATATGGGGCTAGAAAGAAATAAAAAGAGAACTAAACAAGAACAAAAGAGATTTCAACAAAGGACAACTATAACCCAATATGCTTTGCAAGTTAAAATCTCTTTTCATAATAATTTAACGTACTTAATCATTTATCTGCATGCTTCCCAAAAATTCAAATGCTTGATATCAACTTCTCTGTAAAGTTTTATTCCCCAAAACATTTGGAATAGAAGTTTTAATAAAAATCGTCATATGCAATGCCTGGAAATCAATGCATTCTTAGTACCCATGTTAAGGGGCTGAACTTATTCCAATCTGTTAGTAATTGATCTCAGAATCTGTAGCTAAAATTTAATATATAAAACAGTGTATACTTGGATTATTAGTTGTAAACCTGTTGAGTGACACCTGAATAGCAAAATATTAAGAGAGGATTATGATTGTTTATGTGTACTGACAATATCAAAGACTTCCAGCCTGTTTAAAGACTACTTATCTAAGCTGCAGAACAAACTGGAAGTGATCTTTTAATTTACAATGAAATTTTGGTTTTAATTTTATTTTTTTTTATACGCTATGGGCCTCCAAAAATCAAGTACTTATATTTATTTACAGTGCTTCTGTATTAAATCTTACTGAAGTACCTTAAAAATAAAAAGCAAGCCTACTATACCTTTCCTTTTACACTCTGAATGGGATCCACCACCACAGCAACAGCTCTTTCTGATAAGGCTTCAAAGCTCTGCTGAGTATTGATATCTACACCAGACAACCAACAGCCAAAGCCAGGATGACTATGATACCAACCAACTACCATCTCAGGTCTGAAACAAAGAGGACATTGAGATTTTTAAAAACATAAACACTTATCACAAGAAGAAACAGGAACATATCAGGGCATAAATTATGATGAGCTGTGAAAAAAACACCATTAGTAATATTTAAATTACTCACCATAGTATGGTGAAAACATGGACATGAATAAATGAGACAAAAGAGGGCTATCATTAAGGGATACACATTAGCAGTGGTAGATCATGCTTTCAGTTTTTCACCCTGTTACCACACCTTCCCTGAACCAGTTTTTACCCTTTCAGCACTTGAGTAAATATCTACTCTTTAACTCCTTGGCATCGAAGGTTGAATTTTCACGGCAGAAAGTCCATTTCAGACATGGACAACGGGAACCAACGGTGGGAAAGGATTAAATATCAATTAAACCAGCAGTAGAACTAGGAACTCAGTCAAAAAGCAATTTGCACTGTTCTGTTCAGCTGCTGAGCCTTTTGCTAACATTAATTTTGAAGTTTTTCCCACAGTAAAAGAATTTGAGCAAGCAGACGACAACTGTTGAGAGGTAGGAGTGAAATAAAAATTTGTTTAAATACTAGGATCTTTGCAAAATTATTTTCCGTTTCTTTTCATTAAAATGGTTCATGAGTAAGCTATAACTTCAAAAATTTTTAAAATTTTATTTGAAGGGTTAATCAAAAAATCAATCTTTTAAGCAGGTGCTGTGTAGTAATCGCCAATGCTAAACTGAGCAGCATTCTAATCTTTCTGGGTGATAATCAAAGCTGTAGATTTAACAGGAGTGACAATCTCCTGACAATTGAAATGCATGAGGGGGACTGAATTACATGCTATGCTACTCACCTAATTTTTGGGACAATTATTTATTTTTAAACATTATTAATAGCCCTTAGATCACAAGTTTTGCAGAAAGCCAGCCGTTTCTTCTGAAAACCGTGCAGGGAGTACTTGTGACTGTCAGCCCTCTTTACAGTGCCTTACCTTCCCGTCTGTTTCAGCATATCCAACATTTTTGCTTGAAATACAGGATCAACTGCCTCCACACTGACACCCTGATTTAAAAAACAGACAAAAATCATAGTAGCTGTACGTGAAGCAATATTATTAAAAGACAGACAGAAGCAATATTATTAAAAGACATAGTAGCTGTACATGACGCAATATTATCTTTTAACTTGTAACTTTACACAAACAAAAATATTCATAAGCATCTGTTTAAAAAACAACCTGAATACTTTAGTACTACATGACAGAACACCCTTAAACGCAAAATATAATTTTTAGAAATGTATTTCAATGTGATTTTTTAAATCCTGAAAGATTATTTTGAATTGCTATTTAAGTAATCTTCACTATGAGTAAACATGATTAAATAGGCATAGGAAATCACTTTTTTGTCCTCTGTTTGGTCTGCAAACAGTGGCCTGTTGTTTGTCCCAAGTTCAGCTCTACACGTTTTATTCAAGATAAATATCATATATTTACTTTTTGCAGTATTTTATATTATGCACATGAATAAAGTCAGGACAAAAGAATTTAAAATTTTGATGGAGTGCAGCTCTGAGTAACAAAGAAATTATCCCATGCCTGTTTCAAGCACATTTCATTCCAGTTACATGAAATAAAGCACCATAAATTCCAATTATGCCCCTTGACTCTTCACCTCTTTAATCTGTTAATAAAATAGATATTCTTACTCAAAATTTAAACACTTTTGTTTTTCATATCAAAGAACTATCATTTAAGAGACATGCAACTAAGATCTGTCAAAGAGAACAAGTTTGAAGTATATCACAATTAAGGGCATGATACACTTCTAATCAAACCTCTTACATTTTGAATATTTCTGCTGGCTCATACTACATGAGTTTTGAAAGTTATCAATTTATAAGCCTTATAAGTCATATAATACACTATATTTGTGCATAAAAAAGGATACAATATCTGCATATATTGCTATACACACTTAAGTACTAGCCTTCTCTCAAAAAGAAGTTTTGACTACATTTCTTTTTACTGAAATCCTTTAACCATTAGACTTGTTTGTATTATAACTCACAGCTTATACCTCAGATTGCTTCAATGAGGTAAAGCATAAAAACATTTTTAAAAATATATTTACCTTGAGGAAAAAAACAAACAAGCAATTAAAATTATCGAGGTCTAGATGCGAAGAACTCACCGTTCCAGACTGTGGCATTGCAAAAACATCAATCACTCTCACAGTATAATCATCAACAAATTCCCCAAGCATCAGACCCATAACTTCCATAGGGACACCAGCACGACCATGCTTCAACATCTGGAATTAAGACCAAATGACACCATATGTTTAAACGAAGATTCAAGTCTGATTTGAGGTAGTTTTTTCAGCCTTTGTTGATCTCTAGCTAATTTGCAACTTGTAGCACTTTTGGAAACTGTAGCAAACTATAAAATAGTAAAAACAAACCCAACAAAAGAGAACTAATTAAAGTAAGTTTCTGAGGGTTCCAATCAGTATTAATTTATTTTTAAAATAAGTCTGGCCAGCACTTAGGCAACACAAGTCCATTAACTCTGGACTGCTGCCAGGTGCTCTAACTCCAGCATTATATTCAGACATAGTATGTACACAGAACACTTACTTTCAGCAGTGCAAGGGAAGAGATATAAACCTGTTCCGCTGTATCAACTGCAGGAGCATCTGTTGGTGGCCCCTATAAAAAGAATAAACAATTATTTTCATCATCATTGTTATTCTGCAGTTTCTGAATATTTTCTTTTGTTTTGCATATTGCAAAACTTGTAGAAAAATGCATATGTAATTGATTTAATGAGTTAGATGTAGTTGTTACAAACAAAACAAAAAATTGCACATCCAATCCCCAAACCCTTGTTTACAGCACTTTCTGTCACTAACATTATTTTGTAATAGGTCACCCAGCCATCATCCTGTCACCCCCCACACCAAACAACAGAGTCTAAAGAGCAATCTTACCAGAGCCAGTCAAATATAAAGCAGGCAAGTGTTACACTGGATACAAACCTGTTACAAGCCATTCAGGCTAAGAGTCAGATAAGTTTCCATTAGTCAGCCTTGCTGCAATGCTAACCTTCGTCAGCTCTAAAATATGGCCAGTTCTCCAATTAACTATGTGTTTCTTACAGTGGTGTGAATGTAAATGCTGCTGGGCTAGCATGATTAACTGGCACCAACACAAACAGCAATTTCCCTTTGCTTCATCAGCTTTCAGCTAAAGAGGACTTGCAGATAAAGGCTATGGGAGTACTTTGCAGATACACTGGTACAGTGAGAGAAAAAACGGACCTCTGATCCCTAGGTGGAAAAGCTGTGAACAAAATACTTTGCTCTTTGCCTTATGAGTAGTTATTCAAAAATTAGCACAACTGTCCCAGGTGTGAATGATTGGTTGAAACAGGTTCTGTGTAATGTTGAAATTGAAAAACACAGGAGGCAGCAGTTTAAATGTCCCTTTCTTGAGGAACAAGAGAAATATTGCTGTTATATACAGAATTCCACATGAGCATCCCTCATTACAGCCAATTAACAGCACATTGATTACTTTATTACCAAATTTCCACTGAAAAGACATAGCTTACTTCTGCATGAGGTGATGCAAACTTAGAGGGGCAACAAAGCAATTATGGGAAAAAAAAAAGATACTCCATTATCAAGTTAAAAGAGGAAAACGGTGCCTTTACTGAACCCTTTACAGATTTAGAATTTTGAGTCCACAGTTATAAGAAAAACTGGGGGAAAAAAAACTTTTGAATAAATTCTTAGTTTTTCACTTCAAGTGAAAAAATTCAACACAACATACATCCTCATGACATCAAACAAGACACAGCGATCAACACAAATCCATTACTTCCTGAAGATAAAACTGGATACTTAAGTAATCAACACATTATATTTGTACAGGAATTATCCTTTCTGCATACTCTGATTTTCATGCACACAGAAAAACATCAGTCTTCAGAATAAAGCCTTAAAGACAGTAAGAAAATTCAGTTGTGGGGTTTTTCCCCCTTAAAGTCAATGAATCTATGAGTTCTACATCCACTCTTTGTATTGTGAATCCAATCTTTGTACTTTGAAACTCACATATATGCATGGATCTGTCAACCACACCCACTTCCTAAAAGCTTCAAACCTCTATTTCCAACTTTGATACTGCTGACCATCATCAGTATTTGCCTTTCCTCACTTCTTACTACTCACTCCTAATTCTTCTGTCACTCTAGTCTTTTCGTCTGCAAGCTTCCAGCAGGTTTCCCTGCTTTTCACCTTCCATAGTATTCTCACCAAAGGTCCATTTTTCATCAACCTCACCCCTTTATCAAGTATTTCCCTGGCCTGGCCCCAGCCCAGTGAGATGCTCCAGTTGAGATGTACTCCTCTAGCATCCACACTGAAACACACTAAAAGCAGCACTTTAGAACATTGCCCAGAACCAGATGGACAGAGCACCTGCATCACTTATCCCGAATTTTCTGCAATTAAATTGACTGGCAAAGCTTCAAATGCCCAAACATTTTGCAATGCTGTTCCCATGTTTTTTTCTCCATAAACATGTCAGTTTACTTTTTAAACTCTATCTCCTCTACTTGAAGTCTATTCACTTAGAAGTGTTTGCTTAGAATTTGGAAAGCACAGAGACTCATGTTTCCACTTACTCAATGCAAAGAAAAAAGCCCAGGTAACCTGAGTTTTAATTTAAAAGTAACTTACTAGTTTGTTAACCAAACCATTTTTTCATACATAACGCTCTCCCAATTTTCCACCAGTTGTAGACCAGAAATGGTCTGAAGGGAAGATAAAAATAACTAGTAACCTTGTGCTTTAGGAAGAGCCCTAATACCCATGCTGTGATCACCAAATGCATTCTACATTTGTTCCACGTTTTGTTTAACATTTCACTGTAAGCAACCATCCCATTACACCATTCAGTAATTTTTAAAATAAAGAATAGAGCAATAAAAATCTCCCCAGATTAGCACAAACAGTTCCACGATTTCTGGAAGGCTAATCATGCTGTTTGACTGAGACTAGCTTCTCCAAAATCAGGAGGCTTGAACTGAAGCTTACTCCACAGACTATGGCTCTTGGATGAGCCCTCCTCTATGAAATTTCTAGTGTTTGTTAAAATCACATTGACAATTGCCCCGCAGCTGAGGCATTAATCAAAGCTCTGTCCTCTGTATAGCTGCCTGTGCCCTCAACTTATAAAAGCTTATTATTCAAAACTTTTCTCATTTTAGAGATCAGTCAGTAGATTCACCACTTACTTCTGTAACAAGGCAGATGAATCACCTTTAGTTTAAGTGAAGGTAGGAACTAAAGCAGGGTGTTCCTTATATTTCCTTATGATTTCTATATTCCTTGGAGCATCCAAATGCTCATTTACTGTGATCATGGTGCAGAAGAGGGCATACCTAATATGATACTTCATCAAATCTTTAGGCATTCTATGAGATAAAATAGAGGTTTTTTTTCAAAACTTGCGTTGAATACCCGTTGCCAGCACCCACAGTCAACAATTTATTTTCAGCATAGGAAACTCTGTTAATTCATAAAGGAATTCTTCATCAGTGCAAGCCAACTTAATTAACTTTTGCTATTTTTTTTAAAGCCATAGCATTCACTGTGAAGGATTTTACATGCTAAATGTGTTTAAATAGATATAGAAGTTACTACATTAAGGATTAGGAGGGATCAACAGCATACTTCACTACTTCATATTAAGCACATGCAAGACATAGTAAAAATATCAAACATGAGTTTCCACTCTTACTGTGCAGTTCAACCAATTTACCTGAACTTGTAAAAATTAGCTAATGGTAGTACACAAGGCAGGTTTGTTAACTCTCAGTCATCTTATAAATACACAGCACATACCAAGTATTTCCTTGGTCATTGATGCTTCTTTGTGTGACCTCACTATCTCCTTTCCATCTGCTCTGTTCTTCTTATAGATTTTAATTACCAGCTAGATTATGGGAAAACTTAAGTCCTCATTGCACCGTACCAATTATGTGTATTCATTTTCATGTTAATATTCCTTCTTTTGTTTTTAGTATCAATTACAACAAACTGCTCAAAAGAGTACTGAGATTCAGGAATCCTGAGGAGGAAATGATCCATAGGTCAAGTTTCATATTATTTTTCTATCTGAGATAAACTGCATTAGTACATTAGTATTTCTACAGAAAATTCTAAACCAAAGTTCATCAAATTCTTGACATAAAACCTTCAAAGATTTAACAGATAAAGCCAAATGGAACTTGGGTCTTCCAAGTAGTTTACTTGACTTTAGATGATTTGAAAAGAGAGAGCCGTTTGGAAACTGGAACCAATTTCTTCCATCTCTGATCACCTCCATTTCCACAAATGGCTGATAATGTAACACAGCCCTGGAGTGCCAGCCCCAGCTTCTGTGTGTTAGTTACACAGTATGTGGGAGCCACCTATGAGTTATGTGTTTTGAGATCTCTTTGGCCTGTTTCTGGTTGTCTTTCACAAAAGTTTACGCACTTCTTTCATCAAGCAAAGAAGAAGAAAGATTTTATTAGCTAATCTCTACATGGAGGCAAATATTTTACACTGACCCTCCACAGCATGTGCTATTACCACTGTTCATAAACTTCACTGCCTGCCAACTTTAACAAAGAAGCACCAGCCTTACGAAGCAGAGCACCAAATTAAATTAACTGGTATCAGGAACCCAGACAAGAAAGCGTTTGCATCTGCAATGCAAAAGAGCTGCTGGTGTTTTTGGTTACATTATCATATTCAAAGGACAGCTATGTCATTACATAGTTTTAGAAGACTGTCCATCTCACTGCAAAGCAGCGAATATTGCATACCTACAGCTTTATTGGATTATTTCTTGGAGAACTGGAGAAAAATTAGATTTGGAAACTGCAAGGACTACTGAACATTCTTTTTCCCAACCATGCATGTATAAGCTGGATACAGTAATTATTAAAATAAAATAACTGCTGTAAAAAATACTGTTATGTGTTACTGAAAAATTGATGCTTCTTCTGAATCAGCTCTATGCTTCCAGTCACTGAAATGAGCTGCCTGATGGCCACGTCATAAAACCCAACCAAGCTTTAGGATTGTTTTTGTTTAGAATGGCAGAATTCCAAGGTCAATAATAATTGATAAAATTAGGTTATCACTATTCAAATAATTTTTTTTTAGTAAGACTTGTAAGGGAAAAAGGATCGCATGCAAGTTATGGACAGAAAATTACATTGTAATATTAAATTATGCATGTTACTATTTTTGTTTCAAACAGTTAAAGAGATGATCCAATATAAAAAGCAGACCTTTACTTGGGTAACCCTTGTTGACGAAGTGTTAAAGGCATTTGCCATTCTTACAGGATAAAAACTAACGCCTTGAAGTGTTACCTACTCAGGCCTTTTAGCAAATTTGTTAACACTTTTAGGTATATTACTTCACCTTTCTCTTAGTGTGAACCGATATAAATTATTTAGCCAATTTTATTATTAAATGTGAACTAAAGTGTCATTTTAGAGCACTGTTCTTTATTTGTACTATTTTAGATTTATTCAAATAGCTAGAGGAAGCAGACTTGATTAATTACACAAGGAACTGAGAAATATTCCACAAATGGATACACTTTCCATTGTTTAAATGGATCTTAAACACTGCTCTGGTTTC